TGGAGCGCAGTGGCATTATCCCAGCTTACTGCAACCTCTGCCTCCCGGGTTCCAGCGATTCTCCTGCCTCAGCCTCCCAAGTACCTGGGATTATAGGCATTCACCACCATGCCTGGCTAATTTTTGTATTTTTAGTAGAGACAGGGTTTCACCATGTTGGCCAGGCTGGTCTCGAGCTCCTGACCTCAAGTGACCCACCCACCTCGGCTTCCCAAAGTGCTGGGATTACAGGCGTGAGCCACCGTGCCTGGCTGGCATTACAGTTCTAACACATTCCCAGGTGCTGTTGATGCTGATTGTCTGGGTAGCAAGGGCCTGGTCCACTAGGAATTCCCTTCTGAATCGTGGCAGGGGATTAAAATAAGATCACATGGACAGGGCAATGCCTTATCAACAGCAGCAGTCTCATCCTGGTGGGCTTTCAGGCACAGTGGCAGGCTAAGGGACAGCATTGGGGACTGTCTGTTCTCTCTCAGGTCATGTACAGACTCCTGGCCACTTCACTTAGGAAAAGCCTCAGCCACAATACCATGGACTGTGAGTGCCTGGAAACACCAAAGTGAGCAAGATTTCCTGCTGTTTTTCAGTCCTATGGAAGCAAACTCTGCTGGTGAGCACAGGTATTGAATATGGGACCTGAGCTTGGGCTGGTAGGTGGATATCAGATGGCAGTTCTTTTACAAGCTGAGGCCCCCAGGCATCAATGCACATCTGTCCATTCAGTCATTCAGTAAATACATGTGTGCCCACTGTGGACCAGGCATCACTCCAGCTGCTGAGGACACAGCAGAGACCAAGAAGGACTAAGATCCCTCCTTCATAGGAATTTTATTCTAGCGAGAGTAGACAGACAAGCAGCAATAGATACAAGTAAATTATAGAGTATATTAGAGAAGCACCATAGGTAAAGGAAAAGGTGAGCAGGTTAAGGGGTTAAAAGTGACAGAAGTGCAATGGGGCAGACAGCAGTAGGATGTTTAGGGTAGGCCTTGGTTTGTGTAGGCTTGAAGGAAATAAGGGAGTTGCCAAGAGAATATCTGGTGGGTGTGCGAGTGGCTGTGGGGAGCAAATGTGAAGGCCTCGAGATGTGTGAACATACGTGGGGTGTTGGAGGACCAGGTGGAAGCCAGGGTGTCTGGTACGAAAGAGACCACAGAAGTAACAGAGGGCAGATGACTCCACACTTGAAGACCATGGGAAGGCGTGGGATTTTATGCTGAAGGAAGTGGAGAGCCATGGCAGGGCTTGGACCAGATGAGACAGGATCTAGAAGGATCCTCTGGGTGCAGTGTGAAGGAGGAACAGGGACCCTTTAAGGTACAGAGGTATAGGTCCTGCTTCCAGAGTCCGATGTAATGGGGCTCATGTTGGCCTGATAATCTGTATTTCACAAAGCTCCCATGATTGGTTCTCTTGCAAATAGCCCAGAGATGCAGCACCAGCCCTTGCACAGTGACAGGTAGCCCATCCACAGTTTTCTGTGCAAATAGTGTCAGTTACTGAGACTGCAGTGTGAGTGTCACCCCCTGGAGTCATGCACTGAGGCAGTCCTGCAGAGTCCACCCTGGAAGGCACCCCAACTTAAGTGCTTCCCAGCTGCAGGAAGCTGGGTGCCCGGGGCTTCTGCTGGCATCAACTTGGGGTACACACATAGGGTAGCGCAGCTCCAGTTGGCTCTCAGCCAACACCTTGAGTGCCTCATCATCCCTGACAGAGCCTTTGAAGATTCCTGAACTATGAAGGGAGCAGGGACCTGCCAGTCTTCTCATCCTCTGTGGGGCTAAATCTCCCATTGGCCGGATGAGCTTCAGGTATGTGTGGCATGCAGCTCTGCACGGCCCTAAGAGAGGCGAGGTTCTTATCTGGGCATTAAAGGCTATGCCCACACAAGGGTGGGCATAAGCAGATGTGAGAGGAAACCGGGGTGTGAAATGGGCACCATGCTGATGCACTTACCTTTGTCACCCATTCTTAACCCTATGGCATTAGGGAAGGCAGTGTTAAGAAAAGTAGGGGCTCAAAGAGGCCTTTTCACTGGAATGGGATGGAAGAAGGACCATGTCAGCTGAAGAAAGTGATCAAACACTTCAGTCCAAGCTGGCCGCCTGAGAGGCCTGGGGCTCACAGCAAAGACCCTGGGCTCGCAGCAGCAAAGCAAATCAGTTTGAACCAACTCCAGCCCTGCTCCTTTCTAGGCATGTGCTAAGCCTGTTTCTTCATCCATAGAGTGGGCAGCAAGAAGGGTGATGTTAACAGTAAATGAGAAACACACAGGCCGGGCGCAGTGGCTCACGCCTGTAATCCCAACCATTTGGGAGGCTGAGGCGGGTGGATCACCTGAAGTCAGGAGTTCGAGACCACCCTGGCCAACATGGTGAAACCCTGTCTCTACTAAAAAAAAAATACAAAAATTAGTAATGCATGGTGGTGCACGCCTGTAGTCTCAGCTACTCAGGAGGCTGAGAGGAGAATCACTTCAACTCGGGGGGCAGAGGTTGCGGTGAGCCAAGGATGTGCCACTTCACTCCAGCCTGGGTGAGAGAGCAAGACTCCATGTCAAAAAAAAAAACCCAAAAACCAAAAAACCCAAAACAAAACCACATACCAGTACCTGCCTGGTGCTGATACACTAGGAGCTCCAGGGGTGCTCTTGCTTGGACAGCTGGGCTGTGTCCCTTTTCTTAGGCATGGATCCAGCCTGCCTGGCCTGGAGATACAGTCAGAGCACGGCCTGGCTGCTCATGGGCCAGAGAGGTTTTCCCGCCCAATTGCCTGAGTCACGCCCTTCTCCCAGGCCCGCCCTTCCTGGCTTTCACATCTGGCTCAGGGCTCTGCTGAAGCCTTCTGGGGTAGCTGCCAATTCTTGCCTTGCTCGGAACTGCTTCCTGCTTCCCAGGTCTGGCTTTCTGCAAAGGGACAGAGGCACCTCTCATGTGAGGAGCAGATCCAAGGCAGGGCTCTGGGGTACAATGCAGTGCTTGGGGGAGACTACCCTCAGAACCCTGTAGCCCCACACAGCTTCCCGTCTACATTATTTCACCGTCTTTTCCAGCTTAGCAGTATTAGTCCAGGAAACTGTTGCCCAGGAAGAAAAAGTTGTAAATAACTTCATTGTTTGTTCCAGGAGCTCTCCGAAGGAATCATTTACAGCAACATCAAACTGCTCACCTCTTAATCACAAGAGAGTTTACGCTCCAAGGCTCTTGGAACCCTTTACCTCAAAATCCCCCCTTGCTGTGTCAACTGATCCTAAACTACACCCTGATCTTCACCCAATCCTAATTGAGGCTTCCTTCCCTGCATTGAAAGTCCCACCTAAAACCAGACTGAAATCTCTCGTCACTTCCTGACTGCCTTCCCCAGTCTGACACCCTAGGAAAAAGGTGGAGAGGGAAGGATAGGATCAGATTTGCCTGATTAACAGGTGGATCTGCTGATGCTTTTGGTGAGGCATTCTTCAACAGGAAACTATGCAGGTGGGAGTCCTCTCTCTGACCACTGGCCTTTGGGGTGGCGAGGCCAGCGGCCTGAGTCCAGGCTAATCGACAGGGAACAGTTATAAGTGATCATAGGTCCTTCAGGAGCTGAGAAATAGTGACCATATGAGTTCTGGAAAGGCCCTTGGGGGTCTCCTGGTGTAGCCCCTTAGTTTTACAAACAGGAAACAGGGCCCGGAGAGGAAGAGATTTGTCCAAATCCCAAAGCTAGCTAGGATTGTTACAGGGATTAAATGAGTTAATATCTATAATGCACTAAGACACTGCCTGGTACCCACTAAGCTCTATGTATGTTTGTTAAATAAAAATAATGGATCAGCCAGGAGCAGTGGCTCATGCCTGTAATCTCAGCACTTTGGAAGGCCGAGGTGGGTGGATTACCTGAGGTCAGGAGTTCAAGACCAGCCCGGCCAACATGGTGAAACTCCGTTTTTACTAAAAATACAAAATTAGCCAGGCGTGGTGGTGGGCTCCTATAATCCCAGCTACTCAGGGGAGCACCTGGCCTAAAACTCAAGGCAAACTTAAGTTGGCCTCTCAGACTTAGAAAAAAGCAAATCCTGACTTTAACATTGAACCCAGGACAGCAGTTCTCTAGCGAGCATCGGAACCACACAGAGCACTTGTTAAGACAGAATGCTGGGCCCCACTCCCGATTTCAGATTCTGCACATCTGGGGTGGGGTCAAGAATGTTTTTTTTTTTTTGAAAAGATGGTGTTTCACCATGTTGGTCAGGCTGATCTTGAATTCCCGACCTCAGGTGATACGCCCGCCTTGGCCTCCAAAGTGTTTGGCTTACAGGTGTGAGCCACCATGCCCGGCCAAGAATTTGTATTTCTAACCAACTTCCTGGTGCTGCTGATGCTACTGGCCCAGAGACCCCTCTTTAAGAACCATGGTCTCAGCAGAACAAATGACTAAAGGAGTAATTTCTGGCACCAGTAAGGGAGAAATTTGGAGATAGCGGGTCTCTTCATCCTTTCCCAGATACGCAGTTTCCCCCTGACGTTTAGCCATCCTGCAGCAGAGCAGCTGGGGGGCACGCACCAATTCTGCTTGGCTGCACCTGTGCCCACCTGTGACTAATCCACGTTTCATCCCAGTCTAGCCTTCTCTACCTCATGCTTTCAACAAGAGGGCACCCCTCTTGCATGTGGGCTGCCCTCTTGCAAGGGCAGCCAGGCTATAGGAGGTCTGTACAGTGAGAATGAATTAAACACCAACCAGGCAGACGAAATCAATGCATTCTTTATTGCAGACTAAAGCTAAGGGGCTCACTCACTGTGAGCTCTGATTTGGGGGCTGCTGTGGCTGCCCACACTTTCCCCGAGAGGCAAGGGCAAACTCTCCAAGCAGAGGAGAAAACAACTTCCAGAAGCTGCCCCTTCAGAGGCCTGAGGTGAGGACCTGGGTCAGCAGACAGCTTGGCATGCAGGGGTTAACCAGAAAGGCCAGGTCCAAAGGGCCAGGCACACCTAACCCTCATCTCCTGGTGACTGCAGGTCACTCCCTTCTTCAGAAGTGCCACACAGACTCTGGAACAATCTAACAGGCCAAGGGTCTCTCAGGGCTGGTTAGGGAGGAGGCTGAGCACAGGCTCGGATCCCTGGAAGTGGCAAGGAGAGAACTGAGAGAACCTTTACCCTCTTGTTGGAGGACATCCCCAGCCTCGGTCCTTGCTTCTCAAACTCTGAAGTGCTTATAGGAATCAGCTGGGGGTCTTGCTAAAATGCAGGGTCTGAGTCGGGAGGTCTAGGGTGAGGCCTGGACTCTGCATTCCTAACAAGCTCCCAGGGGACACTGCCACTGCCGGTCCACAGACCACACTGTGAGTTGCAAGGCTCTGGTCATACACTGCCTTTGTGCACATCAGAGAAGCATGCCTCTTCTTCAACAGGGAGAAACCCTGTCCAGGTCACAAGGCAGGTGGGGCCAGCACAGCCTGAACAGGACTTCAGCCCCAACTTGCCTCCAACACCCACAGATGAACTCGGTAGCTCTGGAGATCCTGTCTTAACCTCCTCATCCTGAAAACCCTTTGCCCAGAGTTTGACCAACCAGGCCTTGTGATATGAGCAGAACGAAGTTTTTTGAGATACTGAGAGCTCAGTGATGGCCCAACAGTGGCCCAACCTGTCAGCTCCTTACCAAGAGACAGGAGACCTGGGCAGAGACAGGAGACCTGGGCAGGGACGGGAGAATTGGGAGCTTTCTGAGCAGGGATTACTGCTCTGAGCAGTGATCTGAGCTCTTAACATCTTAGCCCTAGGAGTGCTAAAGTGGCCACTCATCCACAGAATGCAGGATTTGGGTGGCCTGGCTTTGCCTCAAGCCCAGGGGCCTCAGGTGCCTCCAGAGATTCAAACAAAGGTGCAGATCAGGTGGAGTCTGGGGCCCTGAGTCAGCCTGCTCCACACATGAGAGAAATGGGAGGTAGATGCCTGAGGACCAAGCAGTCTTCAAGCCACAGGTGTTCTCAGGAAGAAAAAGCCCCAGGCCTTCTCCTGGTAGGGCACCAGCCATTCCCACTTGCCGGGTACTGTCCCAGTTTTAGCACTGAAAGTTCCACGTCCTGGGAAACCAGGAGAGCTGGTCACCCTGTTGCCTCATCATACCCTAAGATGCCAGGTTGAGTCCTTTAAAGGACTAGGTCATCAGGGGTTTGGGTGTTGGCCTGGGAACTGGCTGGCTACAAATTTGATGATTCACACCATGTTTTGCCCCCAGGGGCCCTGACAAGGCAGCCAGGCTGCTGCTGGATGGGACTGTGGTGAGGGTGGCCATCTGATCGCTTCAGACCAGAGCCACAGGTGCAAATGGCTCTGCCGTTCTCTGGGCCACCTCTCCCGCGGCTCAGGGGTGACACTACAGAGGGACGGAGAACTCAGGACTTCCCACCCCGCCGATTTGTTAGCTGTCAGGAAGGACAGAGCTGACGTGACTTGCTCCCCACTCCCAGCCTGCTGGTCCTCGGGCTCCTACATGAATGTTCTTGCCCTGCAGCAGTGCCAGGCCGGATTCCCGCCACAGCTCTCACAGGACTCCTAGCTGAGGCTCCTGCCAGTTCAGGGACCACAGGGGTGAAGGCCGGGCCCTGAAGAGGGCCGTATCCAGGTCAGTTCTCAGGAAGTAATAAATAGATGGGGGTTGTCTTCTCTTCTCAGGACAGCAACTGGCACTCAGCACTAAAAACAAGGCCTCAAACCCGCAGGGGTCCAGAAAATACCCAGCAATGCCCACCTGTGCCTGCTGATCTGGAGGTAACTTGGAGGCACATACTGCTTAAAAACCTCCAGGGAGCCCAAAGGAGGTAAAGGGTCCCTGCCTTTTTGTAGGGACCTTTTCCAAGGTCCCTTTTTTCAAGTGACAAGGCTCAGAGAAGGCAGGAGATCTGCCTGAGCTTGCATAGCAGCTGTAAGTGCCCAGAGTCCAGGCGGCAGGCCCCACCTTGCCTCTTCCCTTGGGCATTCCAGAGGCCGCTACTGTTGTAAGCTATCTATTCAGACCGGCTGCGCCCCACCCACCACTTGCTGGTCGGCCCACCCACCCCCAGCCTGCAAGCTTGGCCTCCCATGGGCCTCCCTCCCTTCCAGGGTGACAGGCCAGTGGCCTCTGTCCCTTGCTGGGTGGGCATGAGGAGGGTGGCCTAAGGTAGGGGGGTTCTTGCGCCTTCCGGAGACATAAGCATGTCAAACTTGATGAGCGGCGGGGCGATCACGCGCACCTCGGCATTGAGTGGGTTGAAGCGGAGGTTGATGCTGCGCAAGGCTGGCATGGCAGCCAGCTTCTCCACGGGCACATCTGTTGGGGACAGAATGGACAGGTTAGAGAGGTGACGGCCAACCAGACAGAAAAGGACAATGGGCCAAGGGGATTCTGAGCACCTGATGGTGAGGGGCAGCTCCCCAGGACCCACTGCACGTGGGCTCAGCTCCTGGTGCCCAGCCCTGTGCGAGGGGCCATCAGGCCTACCAGGATAAGACAACCACATGGATGAAAGCATCCTAAAATATAAGAATCAGCTGCTTCAAAAAGTCAAACGTAGGATTACCATATAACCCAGCAATTTTACTTATAGGTAGAACTGAAATAATTAAAAACTGGTATTCAAACAAACAATTTTACACAAATGTTCATTGCAGCATCATTTACAAGAGCCAAATGTCTGCCAATGGATGAATGGATAAACAAAATGGTATATACATATAATGGAATACTATGCAGCCATTTAAAGGAATGAAATTCTGATACAGGCTATGCCATGGATGAACCTTGAAAACATTGTGCTAAAGAAAGAAAGAAGGCACAAAAAGACACAGAACGTATGACTCCACTTATGTGAGGTACATAGAGCAGTTAAATTGTTAGAAACAGAAAGCAGAACAGAGGTTACTAGGGACAAGGAGAAAGGGAAGTAGGAAGTTATTGCTTAATAGCTACAGATTCTGTTGGGGTGATGAAAATATTTTAGAAATAGATAGTGGTGATGGTTGCACAACATGGTGAAAGTAATTAATGCCACTCGGTATGCTTAAAAATGGTTAAAGTCAGCTGGGCTATAGTCTCAGCTAGTCAGGAGGCTAAGGTGGGAGAATCACTTGAGCCCAGGAGTTCAAACCCAGGATGGGCAACATAGTGAGACCCCAGTCTCTATTTGTTTAAGAAAAAAAAGTTAAAATAGCAAATTTTATGTTATATATATTTATCACAATTTAAAAATAATGTAATATGCCAAAAACGACTGAATTGCATACTTTAAATGGGTGAATTGTATAGTATGTGAAGTATATCTCAATAAAGCTGTTAAAAAACAAAGACTATTGTGTGCATAAAGAATATTTTAGCCAAGAGAGAGGAAGCTGGATACAGTGGCCTATGGAAATTCTTCTTAACCATGGGAATGCCATTCTATATCATGTCATCTGCTCCATCATACCTCTAAAGAGTCCCCAGAGAAGCATACATGACTATCTTGGGTCTATCTAAGGGAGGTTAGTTACACTTTGAATTTATCAGGACTGTTGATAATGTGCCCTACCTCTATTATTGCTCCATAAGAGTATCTGAGAAGTTCCAGACTATATTGGATCATCACTTAGAGATGGAATGTTCTCTGGAATCAAAACAAACATATCTCCTGTCCCAGCTCTAGTTTCCAAAATTTAATGTGTAGAATATGGAAATCAAGTTTCAAGCTGTCATCCACCTAACTTACATAAAGATACTAGGATATTTTCCAACACTCATCAGAAATGCCACATTGTAACAAATATAAAGATCGTAGTGATCTACTAATTAATTCCAGGTCCAATATTCTCAGTTGTAACTGAAGACGCAGCACAGCGTAGTGTCACAGACATGAAACGTCAGACAGCCCTAAGCTGATGCCCCAGCTTTATCACCTAAAAAAGTTTATTACTTCCCTGTACCTTGTAATCTTGAAAATGGAAATAACTAATCTTTCCTCAAACAGAATAAAATTGGGGAGTGACTGCTTAAAGGGAATGGGGACTCCTTTAGGGTGACAGAAATATTTTGGAATTAGATAGAGGTGATGATTGCACAATACTGTGAATGTCCTAAATGCCAATGAACTGTACACTTTAAATGGTTAATTTAAATGGTTCATTTTATGTTATGGGAATTTCACCTCAATTTTTTTAAAGGACCAGAATAAGGCAGCAGCTATATTAACACCCCGTAACCTGTTCCTCCCACCTAACCTTTAGGATCACTCAGACAAGAATAGGACGCTGGACTCGATGCAAGCCCTCTATCTAGGCTGAGGCTCTGGCTGCATCTGATCTCCCCTGATCCAACTCTGTGAGCAGCCAGGTCCCATAAAACCTCCCACCCCAGCACAGGATGGGGCGAGACCTCACCCCACGGAGTCCCACACAACCGCAGGCCGACAGTGACGGCAAGAGCCAGCTCCTCTCCTCTCCTGGGCACCAACTATTGGCCAGAGTTGGGGGGTTTTTGTTTTTGTGGTTGTTTTGTTTTCAATTTTAGAACACACTGGTGAATATTATGCACATATTTTACTTGAGATCTGTGCTATAGATCTCAGGTCACTTCTTCATACATGTATTTTTAACTAAGCACCAGTAACAATCTTCTTTGTAATTTATTTTTAATTTTTAGTTGTGGTAAAATCAAATAAATTTACCATCCTAACCATTTTTAAGTGTACAGTTGAGTAGCATGAAGTACATTCACACTGTTGTACAACCAATCGTCAGAATACTATCTTGCAAAACTGAAACTCTATACCCATTTAAACAAGAACTCCCTATCCTCCCTCCTCCCAGCACCTGGCAACCACCACTCTACTTTCCGTCTTTATAAATTTGACTACTCTAGGCACCTCACATAAGTGGAATCATAGAGTATTTGTCTTTTTGTGATGGGCTTATGCCACTGGGCATAATGTCCTCAAGGCTCATCCACGTTATGGCATGTGGCATTGATAATGCAGGATTATTCAGCCTTGAAAAGGAAGAAACACCAGGCGCAGTGGTTCATGTCTATAATCTCAGCACTTTGGGAGGTCCAAGCGGGTGGATCACCTGAGGTCAGGAGTTCGAGACCAGCCTGGCCAACATGGTGAAACCCCGCCTCTATGAAATACAAAAAATTAGCCAGGTGTGGTGGCAGGTGCCTATAATCCCAGCTACTGGAGATGCTGAGGAAGAAGAGCTGCTTGAACCTGGGAGGTGGAGGTTGCAGTGTGCCAAGGTTGCGCCATTGTACTCCAGCCTGGGCAACAAGGAAACTCCATCTATAAATAAATAAAAAGGAAGAAACTTCAGACACATGCCATAATGTGAATGAACCTTGAGGTTCACCTGTCAATGGTCACCCGGGTTGCTTCCCTCGCTTGGCTATGATGAATAATGCTGCTATGAACGTGAGTCTGCCAAGATCTCTTCGAGGCCCTGCTTTCCATTGTTCTGGGTGTATCTGCAGATGTATGTGACCCTCACCCAGATAAAAACAGAAAACATTTCAAGAACCCCCCAATAGAGTTTCTTTGTGCCCCTTTCCAGTTTATACCCCCCTGATCTTCCTCATCATTAATTCAGTCTATTCCTGACCTTCATATAAATGGAGCTACATAGCATGGGCCGCGCTTTAAATGTTTTTAGGACTTTTGTTTGAGAAAGTCTTAAACTTTTTTTACTCAGGAAAGTTGAATATTATTGTCTTGTCTCTTCCCCCCTCCCTTTTTCATTTGGAAATAATTTCAAGTGTATAAAATGTTGCAAAAATAAAAATAAAAACAGTAGCAAAAATACCAGATGCCCTTTAGCTAGATTCACCAATTGTTATCATTTTATCCTATTTGCTCTATCATTTGTGCATGCATTTTCTGTTTCTCTCTCTCTCTCCACACACACACACACACACACACACACACACACACACACTTTACTCCTGAATCATTTGAGTGTACCATACATACATTATGGCCCTCAGTGTGTATTTCCTAGGAACTGGGATACTTTCTTACTTATATAACCACAGTGCAGTTATGGGTTCCGGGTGTTGACATTGATAGAACGTGTATCTAACCCAGGGCCCACAGTTCAGTGTGGTCAGGTGTCCTAACATCCTGTTTAGGACTTCCCCCCTCTGGTACCAGAACCAGTCTGGAATCAAGGATTGCATTTACTTCTTTTTTTTTTTTTTTTTTTTTTTTTTTTTTTTTTTTGAGACGGAATTTCGCTTTTGTTACCCAGGCTGGAGTGCAATGGTGCGATCTCGGCTCACCGCAACCTCCGTCTCCTGGGTTCAGGCAATTCCCCTGCCTCAGCCTCCTGAGTAGCTGGGATTACAGGCATGCGCCACCATGCCCAGCTAATTTTTTGTATTTTTAGTAGAGACAGGGTTTCACCGTGTTGACCAGGATGGTCTCGATCTCTTGACCTCGTGATCCACCCGCCTCGGCCTCCCAAAGTGCTGGGATTACAGGCTTGAGCCACCGCGCCCGGCCTGCATTTACTTCTAACTCTGGGCTCCTTTGTCTTTTATGACGTTGACATTGGAGGAGTAGTGCACTACCCCATCCCTTTTTAAAAGTTCCTCATTTTGTGTTTGTCTGGTGTTTCCTCATGATTTGACCGAGATTTCGCACAGGCAAATGTCCTTCCTGGGGCATCATCAGAGGCACGCCAAGATCATCTTTATTGTTACTTTTGATCACTTGATCAATGTGTTACTTGCTTTCTCTACTCTATAATTACTGTTGTGTTTTTTTCTCCCTTGCAACTAACAAGAAGTCTGTGGGGACACATCTTAAGTGCGTCCAAATATCCTAAATGTTGGTTCTCACCAACATGTAGCATTCACCACCTTTAGATTTAGCATCCACTAAAGATTCCCACCTGACCTGATCTTTATGATGGCTGCAAAATGATTTTCCAGTGTCACCAGTCCTCAGCATTCTATTTCTCTTCCATTTATCTATTATCAATATAGACTCCTATGTTTCTAGGGATTTACAGTTCATTCTTGTACTTCATTATTCTGTGTTGCAGGAGGCAGCAATGGAGGAAGGACTTAGAGTGTGCCTACATAAACTGGTTATAAGTAAGGTATTAAAAAAATCAGGAACAATAAACTGCAGAAGGCCACAGAGGCCTCTGGGGAGGAAGGCCTCTCTATGCCAGCATGTTCCCAGGAACAGAGTGACCTAAGCTCTGATGTTCTAAACATAGTGCCCAAGGACACAACACTCCCTTGAAGCACTGGAATCTAACCAGGCATTGGCTCCTTGCTAAGCCCACTCCCATCAGCGG